TGCCTGTCTGTCTGTTTGTATATGTGTGTCTTTGTATGTATGTGTTGTGTGTGTATATGTATGTTTCTGTATGTATCTGTCTGTCTGTTTGAGTATGTATGTGTGTGTGTGTCTGTCGGCGGGGAATTGGAGGGGTGGAAGAGGGAAGGCGGAGGGGCCCATGGATCAGTTTTGCACCGGGGCCCCATGGGTTGTGTGTACGCCACTGGGCAGCAGTATCAGTTTACCAGGTGTTCGCGTGATTATGTAGACAAATCAGTTCCATGTTGTTGATGACCATGTACCGCTGCCCACGTTCAGGAGACAAAATAGCCACCATTTGTTTGCTCACGTGTGTTAAGACACTCACCGCCAGGTAGATGAAGCCGCCGTTTAGTAAATAATCCCCTTCTCCAGAAATGCAGTTTATATCCAGCCGATCGTCAAACTCCCGAACGAAGTCCACGAACACGGCAGCTCCCGATCAGCAAAACAGTCGAACGCCTTCCACAGCTAAAAATAACGAAAGCGCTGTCCCAGTAATAATTCCCCCACAAACGAGACCAAGCTCCGTCTTGAGGGTCAAATCAGGATCTGTTTAATGGGGGCTACCTGCCCGGTATTTATGCAGGTCTCCACAAGGTGGACACTCCCCGAGGGGACCTTGTGGAAGACTGTAAAATATATTATACAGTAGCCAATCGCAGTGGCTTCAATATAAGCCCTTCCCATCTTACCCATAAATCCATCTTCTCTACCCCGGAGATAATTAGGAAGAAACCTAATTATTTCCCAGGGTAGAGACAATCGCCATTTTAAATTACAGTAGCAAAAATACATTAAAATACATAACTGAAGAAATACCGAATGAATATAGTTCGTGTAACGTATCCCCAGACAGCCTGGATCTGAGTGCATATTTTCACCGAATAGCGCTCAGATCCGATGTATCTAGTCGAATCGCCATGGAGTCAAAGTCTTTCACCAGTCCTTCGGTATACGAATGACTCCATGGGACGGCTGTCTGGGTAAAAGTCCATACGAATGCATAAAAACTCCCGAACGACCGGCGTTCGCATGCCTTGTCGAAATAGAAGGTGGGCATCAGCTTCCAGCGGTGTTCGGTAGTTTAAAGTGTCCGTTTTTAGTTCCATACAATTAGTACCGAACACCGCTATGCGTTCGTGTGTCCCAAAATGGCCGCTGCCTCGTGGTCGACATGCGAACGACGACCACCCGTACGAATGGAATGGAGAGGTGTCTGCGGTTAACCACAACGTTCTAATTGGGGCCAAGAGGTTAACCAGCAGCACACTCCTCTCCTGGGTGGTCGTTCGTTCGGTAGTTTCAATCGATAGTTTGCAAATTACACGAACGGGGGTATACGAGCAGGAAATCCAGCGAAACAAAGGGAAACAGACGAACCAGCAATACAGATGAATCTGTCACAACGTGCATTTGGTGATACGAACAGCGGCAACACAGGGAAAAAACTTTATTTAACAAGCAATTTGCGGTTAGCAGCCAGGGGTGGTCAGTTATTAAAAGATGCGAACCCATGGGCCACACAAATGGGGGTTCGGTAAATAAATGGGGTGGTTACGGACAGTCGAACAAAGGGAATGAAAAGTGTATGACCAGCGTAACTCCTGAAGTAACTCCTGATTTTGGTTTTTGAGGGCAGTTTTCCCCTTTTTTGTATATTATAGCACGTCTTAATGTGAGATATTAGATCTGAATATAACGACCTGCCCAGTGCGGGTAAATGATGATCACTGGGGCTTCCCAGATAGGGCCTTCAAATAAATAGAAATAAATACAGTTTGAGTCCATTTTACAGCCTGTCTCTCATGATCCCTTTCACCTCATTGCATGCTGTTTTTACCCGTTTATGTATTATAGGTAGTATTGTAATATTGATGGTTTTATTATATGTATTATTACCGTTTGCAGTAATGCGATCTGGAGTGTACTCTGGGGTATTCCGTATTATTGCTGCTAGTTTCGTGTCGCTGGGATTTGTCTAAGGTGCATTACCCAGGATGCACTACTGAATGGGTTTCTTCAGTTTAATAGTTTTATGGTCACATAATCTATTTTAATTATATTGTATATCCACTTTTGTCCTTTTCTTTGCACACTATTTGCTATTAATTGTTCTGGTTATGGCCTGACTGGTATGATACATTGTCTTTTCAGAGCCAAAACGTTTAATAAATCTGCTTGTGGACTTTTCCAGTGTGTTTGGTTTTCAGCTTTTACATATGAATTTGTTTTACATTTTTTTTATATTTGATGGATTTATATAATAAAACTCCCCCAAATTTGTTTTTAAGTACCTCAATTAATGTATGACCAGATAGCTTGGTCTATAACGTATGCATGTTACCTATTCTCACATGTTTCCCTAAATCCTGGGAGATTCACCCAAAATAAGAAAAGAAAATCCACCAGCCCCATGGTGAGACGCAATAAATGAACACAGAACGCTGAGCTTCAAATTAAGTAAATTACAATTTTATAAAGAAATATTAAACCTTTATTTTATTTAAAAAAAAAAGGAGAGGAAACAAGCATTGTTTTGCAGAAAAGATACAGGCTACAAGGAGAGGTGTCATTTTACAGAATGCATGTACAAAGTGGAGCCTTTGAGATGTCAATAAAATGATGGATTTAATGAATGTGACAAAAAGTAATAGAGATAATCAAATACGCTGAATGTACAAATAAAGCGCAGAATGCCATATCACTAATAAAGATATGTTTGTTCACAGCAACATAGGAAAACACGCCGATTGCCACAATTCCCAGCCCCCACTAGCGGCACGAGGCGCTGTATTAATTAAGTTACTGTTATTTGAGTGAGTAATTATCTGAAAACTCTGCTGAAACAAAGCGACAATCTATTTACAGAGAATGTCGCTGGAAAGCAAAACCCTTTCATTATGCGGTTAAGAACCTGGTAATTAATAAAGCAGCGTACTAATTATGCACGCTAACATTGCAATAGAAAGGATGCTATGAAAGAATAAAAGATTACTTTGACAATTTGTACTGAGGAACATTTTGGTGTTAATCTCAAAGGCTCGAGTTGCCACAAGTGTTTATTTAATTATTGTCGGAATATTCAATTTGAATGTGTCACACGCAATATCTCAGCAACAAAGGCTGGTACAAGCTCCGTTGCCTAAATGGGCTGCAGCACCTACTGCTCGCTACACGAAATGCTGAAAAATCACTCCCCCCATCCCAATACACTGGATCAGCTCTGCCAGTACCTCCGTCAGGGCAAAGGCATGGCTGTCACCATACGCCCTACGTTAGAGAATAAGCTGCTACCATCCTCCAAGGTTATGTCACAACTGCCGTCAAGGTATCCAGTGAACATGGAGAGACAATGGGTGAATAGGATGGGGATCATTTAATGGGAGTGGGAGAGTCTGAATAACAATGACTGATTTACATCTGGATACGGATAAAGTGATAAAAGGTGACAAACATACAGAAACAGAACGTCATTACAGAACGTCACTACAAGACGGCTTTGTGTTTTTACATCTTCTTTTTTTTAACAATGCTACTTCTAGATATAGGATCCCAATCCAATATAAGAAACTGGGCCAACAAAGCGTCAGAATTCACCGCCCTCTTCCGCTGTAGTGAGTAACTGCGTGAAATAATGGCCATTTTTTGCAGTAAATTCTGCATTTATTTTGTCCAGCGAGTTATGTTAGTGAATAGCGCCGATCTTTTCACTGGATTCCAAGTCTAAGTCATCTTTCTGGATGCGCCAAGTTAATGGACCAGTGAATCTCTTTTCTAACATCCTGGCTCTATAAAATATGTTTTTAATATCACTTTTATTCCTCTAGGAAATTTCCACTGATGATATTGTTTGTCCTGACTGCATTCCCCACAGACCCAGCTCATTCCCTGCCAACCCAATCGCTATTCTGCGTCTGCCATTAATATTATATATAGAGACACGTATAAAAATATTGGATTGCCTATTAGTGTTTTATTGATATATAATTTCTCATGCGGGTTGTGGACGCCCATTTTCCTCTTCGTGATGGTTAATTGAAATGAAGAATTAAGCCACCAACGACATTACAATTTGCAATATATATTATTGATCATATTTACAGCGTAAAGTACATGTTCTGAAGCCAAATATATATAATTACCTTTTACAAAAGGATCTAATATTGCATCTTGTGAGCGGCAATGATCTGCAATCCACCGGGAGACACTTTGACTCTTTAAAGCACTCTCTGACATTGAAAAAGCAAAAGTAATCTCGATTCCAAATTGGGTGTAATTTGGAGCAGATAAAGCAACGAGCCTTTTCCCTGTAGAAAATCACAGATAATGTAACATGTAATTGACAATAGGGGAGGGATGACCTTAACTAGAAGGCTCCTACTCTGTCCAACGCAGAGAAATTGCTTTTAGGTACATCATTTGTGAAGTGACAATTTTAAAAAAAAATGTATATTTTTAAAAAGCTGGTTTACTTAACATTGAATTTGTTTTAGTGAGCGCAGTTCAATAATAGCCCTGTATACATGATTATGTTTTATAGAACATTAAAGTTTGAGAATTTCTGCGAATGCTCTGATGTGATTGCTTTTGTGGTTACGAAAGACTTGACCGCTCTGGTCACTATTTGCCCAAATGAAAGGTGCGTTCGGGACATGATTTCATTATAAGCAGAGTTATTCGAGGTCTTGACTTGAGTTTCTCTTTCGGCGTGTGAGCACTGACAGGAGGTAAAGTCAAAGAGCAGACCGAGGGTAGAATTGAAAGGGGCAGGACTTTCACAATAGGGAGCTGGAAACCCTCATTGTCTCCAAGAAGGATTATGGGAGATGTAGTCTTAGTCTGCATGAGGAACACAAGGCAAGTGGGAGGGAGCTGGAAACCCTCATTGTCTCCAAGAAGGATTATGGGAGATGTAGTCTTAGTCTGCATGAGGAACACAAGGCAAGAGGGAGCTGGAAACACTCATTGTCTCCAAGAAGGATTATAGGAGAAGTAGTCTTAGTCTGCATGAGGAACGCAAGGCAAGAGAGAGGGAGCTGGAAACCCTCATTGTCTCCAAGAAGGATTATGGGAGATGTAGTCTTAGTCTGCATGAGGAACGCAAGGCAAGAGGGAGGGAGCTGGAAACCCTCATTGTCTCCAAGAAGGATTATGGGAGATGTAGTCTTAGTCTGCATGAGGAACACAAGGCAAGTGGGAGGGAGCTGGAAACCCTCATTGTCTCCAAGAAGGATTATGGGAGATGTAGTCTTAGTCTGCATGAGGAACACAAGGCAAGAGGGAGCTGGAAACACTCATTGTCTCCAAGAAGGATTATAGGAGAAGTAGTCTTAGTCTGCATGAGGAACGCAAGGCAAGAGAGAGGGAGCTGGAAACCCTCATTGTCTCCAAGAAGGATTATGGGAGATGTAGTCTTAGTCTGCATGAGGAACACAAGGCAAGAGGGAGGGAGCTGGAAACCCTCATTGTCTCCAAGAAGGATTATGGGAGATGTAGTATCTTAGTCTGCATGATGAACACAAGGCAAGAGAGAGTGAGCTGGAAACCCTCATTGTCTCCAAGAAGGATTATGGGAGATGTAGTCTTAGTCTGCATGAGGAACGCAAGGCAAGAGAGAGGGAGCTGGAAACCCTCATTGTCTCCAAGAAGGATTATGGGAGATGTAGTCTTAGTCTGCATGGGGAACGCAAGGCAAGAGGGAGGGAGCTGGAAACCCTCATTGTCTCCAAGAAGGATTATGGGAGATGTAGTCTTAGTCTGCATGAGGAACGCAAGGCAAGAGAGAGGGAGCTGGAAACCCTCATTGTCTCCAAGAAGGATTATAGGAGATGTAGTCTTAGTCTGCATGAGGAACGTAAGGCAAGAGAGAGGGAGCTGGAAACCCTCATTGTCTCCAAGAAGGATTATGGGAGATGTAGTATCTTAGTCTGCATGATGAACACAAGGCAAGAGAGAGTGAGCTGGAAACCCTCATTGTCTCCAAGAAGGATTATGGGAGATGTAGTCTTAGTCTGCATGAGGAACGCAAGGCAAGAGAGAGGGAGCTGGAAACCCTCATTGTCTCCAAGAAGGATTATGGGAGATGTAGTCTTAGTCTGCATGAGGAACACAAGGCAAGAGGGAGGGAGCTGGAAACCCTCATTGTCTCCAAGAAGGATTATGGGAGATGTAGTCTTAGTCTGCATGAGGAACGCAAGGCAAGAGAGAGGGAGCTGGAAACCCTCATTGTCTCCAAGAAGGATTATGGGAGATGTAGTCTTAGTCTGCATGAGGAACGCAAGGCAAGAGAGAGGGAGCTGGAAACCCTCATTGTCTCCAAGAAGGATTATGGGAGATGTAGTCTTAGTCTGCATGAGGAACGCAAGGCAAGAGAGAGGGAGCTGGAAACCCTCATTGTCTCCAAGAAGGATTATGGGAGATGTAGTCTTAGTCTGCATGGGGAACACAAGGCAAGAGAGAGGGAGCTGGAAACCCTCATTGTCTCCAAGAAGGATTATGGGAGATGTAGTCTTAGTCTGCATGGGGAACACAAGGCAAGAGGGAGGGAGCTGGAAACACTCATTGTCTCCAAGAAGGATTATGGGAGATGTAGTACCTTCCTGATTTTTAAACAGAATGATGTGAAATGATGTGTAAAGAGGGAGACAGGTTATAAGAGGTAAAAAACTATTAATGTAAAATATGTGACAAGAAATTTGAAAAAAGAGAAAAAATAAAATGACACATTCCAGCATTTAAAGAGACAGTGCGTACAAAACTAGAAATCCATAAACGATGTAAAAAGTGTAAAAATGATAAGAGTGGGAGATAAAAATAAAAACAATTCTATGTAAAGTATGTGACAAGACCTGAAAATGAAATTAACCCATCATTTAAAGAGACAGTGCGTACAGAACCAGCAATCCATAAAATGAACATATCTTCTAACATTTTACACAAGGGATATAAATGGATACAAAAGGATAAATGCTAAAACCTTAAAAACATCGAATTCGGCATTTAGCCCACGAGGGGCTCAGGTGTTTAGTTTATAAACCCAGCTCCTCATCTGACGGTTCAACGTTTCAGAATTTTGATAAAAAACAAATCAGCCAAATTTAAAGGGGATTAAAATGGGCCAATCAGCATACTGCAAAATATCTCAATAATATAAATATTAATAATACGGAAAGTAATAAATAAATATCATGCAGATCTCTTGCAGTACAGGATTAGGGTGAGCAGCAGTGGGTCAGATAACAGGAGGGTGCGACCCACTATAGCTGCACAGACA